CGCTCCCTCTGCCCCCCGCCGCGCATTCCCTGCGTTCTTCCCGCGCCATTAAGAAACACCGGAGTGCTTAAAGCTGCTCCGAGGGCATCCAGCTTAGCCAGGGCAAAGTCCCAGCGAGCCGTGGGCTGTGGAGGCGGGATGCGGCAAGCCGAGGGCTGCAGCACCCGTGGGTCCGGGGGGTGGGGCATCCCAAGGTGGAGGTCAGGTTGGGCTGTGTTTAACAGCCACTGAGGGATAGAGCCTTTTTTTTGGGAAGGCATCTGTGGGGCTGGTTTATGGAGCATCCTGGAGTGCTCTGGTCCAGTTTCATTAATGATTTGCAAGAAAATGTTCTCGGTGCCAGTTTCAGACCCCCCTCAGGACTGTGGCAGCGAGCAGAGCCCCTGCCCACACTCTCTTGGTCCACAGGGATGTGCAAGGCTGAGGATTGCAGTCAGGGGCTCCCAGAGCTGGATGAGTGAGCGAAGGAGGGAATCTCAGCCCAAAGGCACCTACAGGCTGCAGTGACCGTCCCCCATCCCCTCTGGTGTCCCCCTCCCCGTGCTGTGCCCATGCTCCCGGCATTCTCTCACCAGCCCTTGGAAACAGCCTTTTCATGCCAGCCCCGATTTCCGCTGCCCCTGTTCCCCGTATGGTGGCTGCTCCCCACAGCCGGCGGCTGAGCCCCCCTTTCAGCCACGGCTATTATTAACAGCTCTTTTATTCAGCCCTTTCATCCCAAGGATTCGCAACCCCCCCTGCTTCTCTCCTGCCTCCCAAGCTCCCAGGAGCCGCTTGGCACAGCCCCGGCCTCCCCCCTCCCCTGGTGAGTGTTTGAGGGGGATGAAAATGACCTCAGCGGCATTTTGCTGAGAAAATGCCATTTTTTGGGGTGCGACTTCAGCCGACCTGCTGCGTTCGCTGCCCGCGCAGGCGGCGCTGCCTCGGCATGTGGAGCTGCGCTCCTGCCAGGCTGGCTTGGGGGAGGGGGAAACAGGGAGCAACACCCAAAGATGAATTGCCCGGGATGATGAGGTAATGCTGGAGTGCTTGGAGCACAGCACGGTGCCCTGTGGGTTTATACCAATGGGTGCAAGCTTCCCTTGCCATTGTCCCGAGGGGTTATCCAGGTGAAGCCAGGCTGCAGCAAGCACTGTGGCTCTTGGGGGACAGCCTGGACCCCCCTCTCGCTGGTCCCTGGTGTGCTGGCTTCTTATGGGGGGCAGCTGGTGCATCCCCGTGGGCTGCACCTCAGGGAGCGGTGCTGTGGATGTTGCCAGAGGGCAGGTGTGGGGGGTTTCAGGCATGAAAATTGGGTATTTCCAGGGATTTTTTGTGGGGATGGGAGGTTGGAGTGGATGGCATGGCTGTGGCTTGGTGGGTCGCTTGCACCCCCGGTGTGCTGCACCATGCACCAGCCCACACCTACAACCCCGCTCATCGGGGTGTTGTTTCAGGAGCCACGTCCCCGTGTGACATCCATGAGCAGCCCCCGGCCCGTGTGCCCTGAAAAAGGGGAGAAAAGGATATTTTGGGGCCAGGATGGCTGACTAGAGGAGGGAAAGC